TTAATCCTCTCAATTCTTTGGTATGTCATGAAACTTTCTTAATTTTTCCTTGTCTGTGAAGGTCTTAGGTGAAATGTTACAGTTTCTTAACTATAATCTTATTCTTATGATCCTTGTTCAACACCATTTGTGGTCCATTTATTTTGCTTAACATTCTTGATAAATTTCTTAATGATTGTATTTACATGGGATGCTGCTATATTGTTTGTTTGTTCTATATGTTCATTATATTGTACTGCTTCTAGAGTGTAATAAGATTGACTGAAATTGGGTTAAACAGTTATGGTATGCCAGGATATGATGGATAAATGACCAGACTTCCAAAATACGCACAATGTTAGATTAGATGAACTTAAATGCAATTAATTACTCGACCTTTCTTAATTGAGTTGTTTAGCTTCAACCTGAGCTTGTAGATTGATTGCTAAATTGATTGCTCCTCCAGCCAAGAGTGCTCTGTTTGAATCCCTATCCGTTATTAAATAAATTAGAATATGGACTGATTAAGGTGATTACAGGGATTATGACTTGGTTATTCTGTTCCTCAAATCAAGAGAAAGAAGGAAACCTTGGTTTCTAGGCTGAGGTACCACAAGTTGCTCCTATGAGAAAGGATTTTATATTTTTGCTTATGACTACTTTATTATCATTAAAGAAAGACACGGAATGGAAGTATGCATCAGATATTATCAAGTTTTTTTTATTATTGGTGTTTCTATAAGTAAAGAGTGTTTATCTTTATTCCTCATTATGAGTTAATAACAACATGCGGAAACTAATTGTTCTTCTAGTGCAGACAAGATTAGAGGCAAACCTGAATTACAAATGAGTAAAGAGATATGGAGATAAGTGCATGATCGACTTCAAAGCTAAGATCCATGCATGGGGGACGAGGGGAGACAAATGTGTTTAGTAGTGTCGGGCACCAGGACTTGGGTTTGAACCTAATATTCTATCAATTCTAGCAAGATGAAGAGTAATCAGCCTTTCCTCATTAGTTATAGCGTTGCCATGCTGATGAAGAGAATTTGGAGCTATAGTGTCCTTGGGAGGGGCACATGGAACAATCAAATTGGCCTTCAAAGATGGGACTTCTTTCTTTGCCACCTCTAAAAGCTTTCTACCTTCCAAAGATGGTACTTGAAAGATCAAAGCCAGAAGAAAAACTGAAAAAACAAGGCTAATGCGCGCCATTGATATAACACACCTCCCTAAGTACTTTTAGTCTTAAAAGAGTTCGGAAACAAAATTTATACTAAAAAATTGCAGCGGAAGTAAAAACATTTATGATATAAAATATTTTTTCAAAAGAAAGCTTGTATTCAGAAAATCAATTTAATAAAAAGAATATCAATATATATATTGAAAAATGCCAAAATATTCAAAGTTATAAAATAAACTGAGTTAAGCTCATTTATAATTAATTTAAAGATTTTATACATAAAAGTAATTTACACAAAAATTATATGAGGCAAATTTCTTCTCCAAAGCTTTTCAAAAAAACAAAAGTTGAGTTATTTTTTTGGTAACACATCGATTTGCCTCCCTATCGAAAACACGAGATTCTATCTTGTGCATACAACAAGCATGCGAGTCTCGTGCTAAAAACTCCTAAACCGAGAGGCTGCTACCTCGATCTACTGATTTGAAATGGGGGGTGGAATTTTATGAGCTAACAGCCCAATAAGTAATAAGTTTAAACTATAAACTTGTGTCCTAAAACCCTTAGACCTATCCACACAAAGAGCATAAGACACAACGGAATCAAATCACATAATATTATAATTCTCACTATTTAAATAGTGATTTAATATCTCAAATGATAAGCACAAATGTCAAGGAATAATCAATGACATTTAAATTGAATTCATATGCTAAAATCATATGCTTACAAATACGATGTCACAAGCGTAATGCATAAAATCGAAAATCACACAATACTATGGAGTCCACTGAGGTGTGCTAGCAACACTGTACCGGAGCTAATTACAGTACTAATCCTACTGTGCAGAGATCCATTAAATACCCCGAAGGGTTCACTGAATACCCCAAGCTTTAAATTTAGGTCCACTTACTCTATAACCACAAATACATACGCATGTCAAATAAATTCATAATACGTCTAAAATAATATTAGGACTTTCTATTGGAAGAGATCAAAGCATAATGCATGAACAGTAATCATGAACAGTACAATTTACTTATAATTCCTGCACGCAAAAATTCACACCCAAATCAAACATAAAAGGAAAAAACTCACCGTCTTTCCCATATAAGCTCCAAAATTAAGGATATTTCTAATAAAATTTTAATACCCAAAAATTTTACAAACCAAAGGATTAGAGTCAAATCTCACCAATTTAAACTACCCAAAACTCTAACCCAAAATTCATAATTAAAACTTATATTTATCTAACAAAAAGCACCTTAACCTTGGTTGGAGAAAGAAAGAAGAAAAGGATGTAGGTGGAAGAAGAAGGCGTAGGAAAACAAAATGGGGCTTTTGGGAGCCTTCCGGAGGCTTATCCAAGTTTCCACCGACAAAGAAAAAAAAAACTTGGTTGGGACAATGCCATGGTAAGCAAAATTGAGATAATTGAGTTATGGTCATTCAACTTCTACTAAATTTTATTTAAAACCCTCAAATTTTAAATTCAATCAATTTAATCCCTAAAA